TTGAATACTAAAATGCTTACAATTTATCTGCAAAATCTATTAAGTGTTTGAAGAGAAATAGTGCATCAGACTTTCTTTCTACATCTAAAGAAAATAAAAACATATAGTTTTCCTGGAAAGATTTAAGTTCATCTTACAAAATACTCTACCGACTCTCTCCATGGTGGTTGGTCTTGGGTCTTGATGCACAGCAGTGAAGTTTCTCTGAGAATGAGTGTTTCAAGTATACTGCATTACCTCAAGTGTCCCTAGTTTTAGGACTCAGTAGAGAATGTGTCATCGGTGATTAATCTGCTCAGATTGTGCTGTTGTTTTCTGTTACCATTTTTGGCACTCACAATCTGCTTGTGCCAAACACTTCTGGACATGTTCACACATCTCGATGAATAATGGGTGGTTTGCATAATTCAGCTATTTTCTTGAACATATTTCTTCTTGTTTGGGACAAGAGGTTGGTTACAGTTTACCTACTGCTTCTAAAACAAAAAGTCATTAAAGTTCAAAGGCTTATGCTAACAGCTATGCTAGCGAGACTTCACTCATGCTAGCTGCCACATAATGTGATAAAGAATCCGTCATAAGACCTAGAGAAATTAAACTGTTTACAAACGTTCAAAGATTTTTGTTCTTTAATATCCCAGGCTATTTAATTTTTATTACTTTGATTACCCTTCAGGATATAAAAATGTAGATATAGATTGCTTAGCTTTTGTTAAGTGTTTAGGTGCTGTATAATCCCAAGATGATATTCACGATGCTCGTCTCCCACTGAAGTTGCTGAGCCCACCACAGACAAATCAAGTCAACAGCCTTGTTGTGATTGGTGTTATAATGAATGATAGATAGGATGAACTTTAGAGGATTTGTCTGGGGAAAGTACTGGTGTCACTTGGTCAGTATGATTACAAATGTTTGATAATACTCGTAGAAATGTACTTTTTTTTCCTGCAGCACTGGTGGTACAACTCTGACTTAAGCAGAGATGGCACCTGGTCTGTCAATGCCACAGTTGTAGCTATCTCACAAAATGGCTTGAGATTTTTTTTCAAATATATTACATGTGGCAAAAATACTGAATGTGAATCGAATAAAGCCTGCATGGGTGATTCTTTGAAAGACAGACCTCTGGTTTTTTTTCCTGAAATACGGCTCCATTCACTTTCTGTTATGTAAAACAAATGTGGCTGCAGAAGATTCAGCCCCGATGGACTCAAATCCCACACATCCAAGTACATCCACTGTCTTTTGTGCTTCCATCATGCTTTGCAGTTCAACACACTTTCTTTCACGCGCGTGGCTGCAGGCTGCTTTTAGTGAGATGATTCCTATGTGAAGGTTGAGGGCCTTTGTGGAAGGAAGGCTCATCTAAAGCTGTGACATCCTGATACTTGATACTAACAGATCCATGCTGCTTGCCTTTTTGCCATTGACAGAAGGCAGCATCATATGGTCTCCTGAGAAAACTGAACACAAATTTGTTTTCTAGCTTCTTTTCTAGACATATGTTTGTTAAAAGTGCTTTACTACCTCTGAAGGTTAAGCCACAATGAGAGGACAAACTTTACAGATACAGACGATTTCCATCATTTGCCCTAAATAATAAACAACAGAGAATTAATAACCAACACAGTTACCAATTTCTCCCGCAGTGTTTTCTTGGTTGAAGTATTTTTTCCAATTTTTCTATTATTTATTTACAGAAAAATGAATTATACATGCATATGGAATCCTGGGTTCTCTGTTTTCTGCCCATCTAAATAACTTAAAGTTCACTCTTTCAAGGAAGGAGGCATTCACACTGCCTGACTGGGAATCTGACTTAGGTTGCTTAATGGAGACACAAAGTGAAAGAAAAATCTGAGAATGCAAAACCGAAGAACCAGAGGGACTCTGGAAAGGTGCGCATAACACCACAGAAAAGGGACAGATCCTAGGAAGGGCTCTTTCTCTAAGAATTTTTAACAGTACTGTTGAGGCCTTTCCACATACATTTGAACTGTGAGTGGGTAATACTGTTAACTTGTCTAATACACTAAATGGCCTCAACTAATAGCACATTCTTAGTTCCGTATACATGCCCATACAGGCAGTTGCATATACATCCCCTCGGTCCCAACAAGAGTTTGAGTGTAACAGAAATCTTTAATTTATCAGGCATTCCCTCTCCAGCTCCCATAAACGGGCAATTGTTTGGCTTGACAAGTCTGTGAGGTCTGATCTCAGTCTACTGAAGCTCAGCTGTATCACTGGACTGAGGAGGAGGTAAGATCACTTTAAGCTTTTTTTGGCAGTTATGGAAAACTTCACTATTTTTTACATGAGTGAGCAAACACTTAAACATCTCCAGGGTGATGTGGCTGCTCAAGGAATTTGAGCTATTCAAGGCTAAAATTCAAAATAATAAAAAAACAGTCCATTTGTGTAAGTATCTTCCTTATGTTCTTTCTAACTCCCATTAAGTACCCATTTGCCTCATTAAGCTCCAGAATGGTTTTTAAAAAAATTAAACTTAAAAAGTGCAAGACAAAATTTCATGAAGAGAGTTACACTGAGTGCAATAGATAGGCTCAGAACACCCAAAAACCTTATGAACATTTCATGTATCTCTAAAACCTTGAGCAATTAAAGTTCAGAATTTTGCAGATGGAGACCTCAGCCTACTTGGTTTAATAACAGTGTCATTCCAAAGCCAGTCTCTGAAGAAACCCTTTCTCCCCAATTTGACAGTCTTTTAATAGCAGTCTCTGACTTTTCTTAAAAATTTAGGTAGGATGGGAAGAATGTGAAGCTGCATGGTGATATTTCAAACTGATTTAGCCACCCAATTTCAGCTCCTTGAAAACAAATCTTCAGGTTCTTTGAGTGGTTTCCATTCAGACATGCGATTTCATGAGTTAAACTGAGGGCAGAGCGCATCATTTCATTAGTTATTTCAAACCAAAATGCTTGTTACTGCTGTGGCGTTATTAAAGTGTCTGTTTCAGCAATCCTTTTTGTTCAAAACCGGCAGATGAAAGCAGAAGCTCGGAAAGTCAATACATCAGTTTTAAAGGGTTTTGATAAAATATCTAGAGCTTAATTTTAAACAGTCTGGAGTCCAGACCTTTCTCTTACAAAGACAAACCAAGAACTAATTCACACCAGAAAAGATTTGCTACTATACGTAGAGGGGTAGAATCATCCCAGAAAATACCCCAATAACAAAAAATGGTAGCATAGCTCTAAGATGATGCTTTTTGTAGAAACAGTTTAAAAAAAAATTAGAAATACCATATATGTCTAAAAGTAGCATTCCAGCAAGGGATGGCTGTATGAGCGTCCAGTGGAATACTGCCAATACAGCATGCTAAGATACAGGCACTCAGAAATTTAACTTCTAGAATAAAGGCAGCTATACAAGTAAAATAAAGATATTTTTTCCTAGAATGAGTTATTCTAGCGTCCTGTTCATCTAGACACAGACAGACATAAAGCTGAACTGCTCCCCAGTACTTAACAGGTTTATTTTTCCTGGAGTAAATATGTGTCTGTCAGGGATTTTTAAAATACCCAATAATACAGCTATGGAGTCAGGAGCCTGGAGTACACAACTGTTCTAATAAATGAAGGATCGCCCATGTTACTGTCTCCTGTATTTAGGCTGGGAGAAGTGCCAGAACTGCATATTTTAACCTGAGATCAAATTCAGTGGCTAGCATTTTGTCTCAAAGGGCCCTAAATTACTGACAGTAAATTCTTAGCAGTTAAGGTGGCTTTTCCTGTCTTAGTTTAGGAATATGAGAAGGCACAGAGGAAGTGAAAACTTGAACATTCCCTGATACACATAGTTTCGGACAAGCCAGATGGTCAATGGAAGTATGAGAACACAAGAAAGCAGAAATCTGCAAATGACAGTAGAAATCTGAAAAGCCCTGTTTTAATTGACTAAGTATTTTACACAAAATAGGATTTTAGTATTTGAACACATATCTGGATGAGAAATTTACTTATGCAATTTCTGATTAATTAAAATTACATAGAGAAAGTTTTCATGTGGTGAAAATAGCTATACTTTTTTCACCTATTTATGGACATTGACATTTTACAGCTCTTTAAATACTGCAAATTTGACGCTGTGTGTAGGAGGTACAAAGTGTTATTTTTATACAAGTGATTAGTATTTAACAGAAGCAAATAGCTTCAGGTATTAATGATTCTGATTCTCTTATTCAAATGCACTTTGGACAGTAGAGAGTAACAACAGCTACTTTGCAGTGGCCAGAACTGCAGTTTTTTTGGGCAGTTCATTCAGTGAAATGACCTCATAGGTCACGTACCCCTGCCCCCCAAAGCAATATTTATCTAAGTTAGAAACAACAGTTCATTCTGTGCTATTGAAAAGGACCAACAGGAACACAGTGGTGTTTGCTTCTTTTATTATGAAAGATACAAAAACACAGAGTGTAGTGAAGCTATCATTAGAAATGGGAGCTTTTTTTTGAACCAGCTTTCTATTTACATACACAGAATTCCTGAAGTGGAACAATATCAAATGTGAGACACATTATCAGAATATACCATATATACAAGTTCAGAGATTTCATATCTCTGTTGCTTTATACATGATTGTTACACAAAAAGTCAATTTCTACCTGTCCTATGCAAGTATTTTAAGTTAAGCTTATGAGACTACTAAAGCCAAATACAACAGAATTTGGGCATAGTTCTGCTACCTGAATGGTTACTTTATAAATATAGTACAAAACAAAGAGCCAGGTTTTCAGCCAGGCTCAATCTTCTGTTGTGTCAAACAGCCCATGCTCCAAATTGATGGAAGCAAATAACAGATCCAATTGATTGAAATAGAATAATGGAAACTATTACTGATTTATATTGACATGAAATCATATCTCAGGAGTCCTGTTTTCATATATTTTCATTATCTCAGCACTGGTTTTCAGATCACTGATGAGTTTGTTAGGGAAAACAAATATTTTTATTTACTTTTAAAAAACTCTTTCCTCAAACAGAGAAGCCAAATAAAATACTTGAGCTTGCTTTGTGTCATCAGACATTCTGTTAAAAAAAAACAATAAAAGAGGACACACAACTTTGTATAGTTTTTAACTGGAACCAACTACTGCTTAGTAAAATAAGGCACTTCTTCCTTTAGACCAGTCCACTTCCCGAGATTTCAGTTTAGCTCCAATTTACTCAGAGCAGTGATTTCAGCTATGCCACTTTTGACAGCAGAAGGGATGCTGTTAAGAACTGTTGCTCGCCAAGCATGGATGGCCTCAGCAATACCTTCTGGATTGCTTGCACCCAGGTCACACAGTGAATATACAGCTGCCAGCTGCACACTCCAGGGAACATCTACAAAAAGGTAACACAAATCAGCTTATAGGAACTTTGATATGCAATAATGTTTTGGGGGAACTTGAATCTAAAGAAACTCTCTGTTCAAGAACTGGAATTAAAGCACATCAATAACTGGGATGCCTAAAACCAGAAGACAGCAAGATAACAACCTGCACACAAAACTCGTAACATCTCAGTTTATACAAGCACTTTCCTCTTTTCAGAATCCAGCAGGTTTTCAGTATTCAAAAGGCATAAAAGATTTGAGCATCTAGTGATGTTACTCTAGTTAAGGGCGATCAGACTCTTATGAAAAGAGTCAGGTTTACAGAGTCTGAAACAGACACAGACATATACCACTTATGTGGAAGAACTTCAGACTGCAAGGAAGAGAAGCTATAGAAGTGGTTCAAAACAGCTCCCAAACATCAACTAATGCTTCACTGCAAAATTCACTTAACATCCAGAATAACTTAGCAGTGCAGATCTCTGCTGCCCTAATTGCCTTGCTTTGTCTCAGTCAGGAATTTGGACTGTCTTGCAACCCTCTCCCAATAAAACAATCTTGCCAGTGGCAAGCTTCAGCACAAGCTGCTCAAGTAACAAATGAGCTATTGCTGCTCAAGTGACGATCACCCTTTAGGTTCTCTGAGGCGGCTGATGTGCTGTTACATGAAGCAGTGTAATTCCAAGGTGGCTGAAACCTCAGAGTTGTTCTCTCTCTCAAACAGAAGATAACACATGTGCTTCATTAATTTTGGAAGAGAAAGGGACTCAACCTGAAAACTCTTTGTACTGTTATGCACTAACCTAAAACTGCACAAGCATTGGCTGTTGTGACGTGTGTCTCAATTTGCGTGTGTTCCATGGCAAAAATTCACATTGCAGATGTTACACTAAAGTTCCTCCAAATAAACCTTACCTTCTTCTTTTGCATGCTGTACAAACAGTCCAATTACAGAACTAATACTCTTCACTGCAGCAAGATATCCTTCCTTCAAACCTATTTGGCCCAATCGACCTGAAAGAAAAAAAGGTTACGATGTATCTGACATTTAGACAGTCAGCTTCCTAAATTTTAGACTCACTGATTGTCTGTTGAAGTATCAACCAAAAATGCAAATTTCAATTACAAAAATCTGCCATTCTTGTTACCATGTTGGTTTGGGAACAACAGTTGTCCTATTCCTTGTGTGACTAAAGACCCCAAAGCATTTTTTATCACATTGATCCAACCTCCCACAGGTTTACACTTTGTAAGTGTCAAACTCTCAAAGAATGCAATTTCTGCTTAACAAACAGTATTATATAGCCTACGTATTGAAAATACCTATTGAAACCCAAAGGTTTATCTGTTTACCTTGAATACCATCTAGATCCGGAATAAATGAATCTAACTTAAAATTGCAGGAAGAGGCATTAAGTTGCATATAAAACCTTATTTTACAGGCTTTGCTATAAAGCATATGTAGCTACAGATGATTTAATTTTAAATATATAGAACACGTTGGTACTTGTTATTGTGAAATCAGAGAAATATCTCTCAGAACTTAAGTACATGCTTTCCACAGGCTGACAAGCAGGAAATGCCTGCACAGTAAGAGTTTGGCTTTTAAGGTGAAAATTTTTTAAGTAAAAAAAAAAAAACCAAAACACAGAAAACAAAAAACACCACCAAAACCAAACTTCAAATCACTTTCCAGGCAGGCTGACACTTTCCAAGGACATACTTACACAGAGCAGAAGTTCAACCAAAAATTGAGATTACTCACCAATTAGCCTGAGTGTCAGTGCTACAACACTGTCAGGAATGGATTGAGCAGTTTCATGCCCCTTTCTCTTCTTTACCCATGCATCCATAGAAGGCCAAAGCACTTTGCTGGGAAAGACAAATGAATCTGAAAACCTGACACTGCATGAAGGTGTGGTACAGTATCTGTACAGTAACAAACACAAATGGTTCTTCTGTTTACCATGTATTTCCATAGCTCCATGTGCATCTTTAATTCACCTTCTAGGGAAACAGAATATCCCAAGCATCTGCAGATCTGAGTAATGCCAAGGTTTTAAACCCATACAGTCGAAGCTGACTTCCTGGAGGAACCATTCCTGTTCAGAACAGCATTCCTCCTCTATTCATTTCGCTGCAACATTCTGCATCTCTACCTGAAGTCAAGAACTGACTCCACTGACTTCACAGCTGCCTACGAAATCACATAACCTTCAAATGTCAGGCTGCAATATTACATGATTATACGTGTACACACAATATTATACGATTGAAAAATTCATAGTTTGTGTTACAAGTAGAATCTGATGCTTGTTTTTAAACCTGAAAGGATGTGAGATGAGACTTTTTGTATCCTTAAAATGATGGTAATAGACCTAGTCACCTATTATTTGCACAACTCTGTGCAGACAATCAACTCTGCATGGCTTTAGTTAAAATGACATACCTTTCACTGAAGCTAATTTGTACTCATTTTAAAAGTATTTCACTAAAAATAACTTATTTACCACCTGACAGCATTGAACCTGTATAGAAGTCTTGATGATGATTGTAAGTTATTCACATTTACTTTATACTCCAATGATTATGTTATGTCATAGTTAAATGCCATAATTTTGGAGATTCTACTCAGTTATGCAACCTCTACACAGAAAATAGAGACTGTCAGATCAGTGTAGGTATCAAAATGAAGTCTTTCAAACCAAGTTAAGTATGGCAGCAGTCCATGCATTGGCTTACAGGGTTCAAAGAAAACTGAAGATGTTGAAACTAAGTATTATAATGTTTAGAATTAAAATCAGACTGAAATCAAGACAGCACACATGAAATGACAGAGCATGATTACATTTCATTTTCAAGCACTGAACGAGTGCTATTTACACATCAGAAGTTGCACCCTCATTTTCCAGTGATATGGGGGGGTAGGAATTCAACAATTAAGTTCAGAGGAAGATGACCAATTATTTTGCTTTGCTGACAAGCAGTCCATCTCAGAATCTTTCACAACTGTTCACATAGAGCTATTTTAAAAGCAATTCTTTATTAGAATGGTTCAAACAGGGTTAATTTCTTGGACCAGTACGATAAAATCCTAAATTTCCTCACCAATCGCTCATTATATCTTAAAATAAGGCACACAAACACCGTAGTCTAAGCCTTACCAGGTTAAAACCCCCTCATTTCTAGGTATGTATGCAATATTCTATTATGTTGAAAGCTAAGTCATAATGTCTCAAATATGGAAAAAAACCCAAACCACCACCAAAATAAACCACAAGAAAAACACGTACAGGAAGACATTTGAAAGAACTGCTTGCCACAGTACCTTATAACATTGTCATGTGTCCAATCCCACTTCAGGTGAGAGCAGAGTAGATCAACAGCAAATACATACTCCCAAGCATCTTCACTCAGATCTTCTCCGTATCGCTCACTCCGCTGAAATTCTACTTTTGCACATGACTGCATTTCTAAAAGCAGGTTTGAAACCATAACACCAGCATCTAAAGAGGAACTCTGGAATTTTAGAAGATGATTATCTTAATACATGAAAAGTCATCAACCCAGAACCTCTCTCTTTACATATATTTTCATTCTGATTGTTCAGAGCATCTTACACCATACATTCAACTTTGGGTTTGACTTAACACAAACAAAAAAAGTACATAAACTAAAATCTTCAAGTACTCAGTGCTTTTCTTGATGCTTTTACTAAAAGGAGAGTTTGGGGAAAAAAGTCCCAAACCAACAACAAAACCCACAAACTCTACACCCAACTCTCTTCTCTCCTCCTCCAGTCTGGGGATTTTTGTTTCTCTCAATAAGGCTCTAAGGTCAGAAGAGTGTTCTCCAATGCAAGATTAGACATGCCCTGCTCACTTTCCAATTTGTTGTCTGTTGTTTGGGTTTTTCTTTTAATTATTGTCCAATGCTGAAATTTATTACTGTTTATTGTTCAATTAGAGAATAACTTCCAGGTAAGTACTTCTGATAGCTGAGGTAGTAAAAATGGAAAACATGTGAAATTCATTAACTGGCCGATTATTTTTTTGTGATAAATGTATATTTGCAGTCTACTTCACAGAAAGATCATGAGTAAAAAGAGACAGGCTCATCTTGAAATTAACTGTGATAAATAATTACCTATTACACAGAGAACTATGAAAGACAGAGAAGCCCAAGTGCAACAAAACAAAACCAAACCACCTCAAAACATCAAAGTCACAGCTCCACAGAGGGACAGAACTCCCTGTTCAAAGTTTAAGAACAATGCTTACTTCTAATGTTTAATAGGGGATTTAGGATTTAATACGGAAAACAAGAAGGTGTTGCGTTCTAGTGGGGTCTAGACAACCTTAGAACAAAGGCCTGAAGCAGCACTAGTTACACAGACTCCGTGGGAGATCCACAGAGTGTTCTCACACAAGCAGAAGCCGTTTGATTTTATCAAGCAGCAAAGCAACCAACGCAGACAAAAGCTGATGCTGAGAAGGAAAGCAGCCCTTACCTGCTCCCAGTCCAGATAAGCACTCAAAGAGGCCAGCGTCTCGCTGCTTGCGCTCTGTCTGACAACTAATTGCATAGCTTTGTTGATTGCACCTTGGAAGACAAATATGTCAGACCATACAGTTACGATAAATAAAATCATTTTTTCTGAGTCTGGAAAGTCTAAGGAAAAAAAATAAGAGAGAACAAAGTAAGTTTTTAACATTTAAAACCAAGAAGTATATACTCAGACACTCTATGATTAAAAACTAGTACATTCTTCAGGAAGGTAACTAGAAAAGAAGGCAGAGCGGTCACATAACTGCAGCTCAGGGAAGGTGAGGCATAGTAGCACATCTCAGTCCTGAGATGAAATAAGAAAAAAAAGACACAAGGAGAGGAAAAAAAAATCCCCCTCTAAGCTCCCTCCCCCATTGTAGTTTCACTCTTCTTTTAAGAAAAGGAGGAAAAAAAAAAGGCTTCACTGAACTTTACTGTGTAGTGACAATCCAGACTTTTCCATGTTGAGGTTAGTCTCCCTTCATCCTTCTTACTGCACTTCAGTTCACTAAGGAGAGTGGTCTTGGAGCACTGAAATTGGGTTATTTTAGGATGGAATTGAACTGGAAAATGCACTCCAGAAGCCTACCCAACACACTCCAGTCATAAATGAGCACTCTGATCACTGGATCAAACTAAAGCTACTCCAAAAGAAAAAAAATAATCCTGAGATGTGTAATAATGTCAAAATCAAGTCTTCAGTACAAATCCACAGTACTTGCTAATACCTTGCACCTATACACCTATGAAATCCACATTTAAAAAAAAAAACACAAAAAACAACAAAACTTTTCAAAGAACTCTCATAAATTCAAATATGAAATCTGATATTGCTCAGCAATTTTCCCAGACTCCATCAGGAAAATTATACAAGTTGTAAGCGGATGTATACGAATGATGCACGTCAAAAGTTGTATTTCCACAGCCACAAAAAAGTGTTACTGATGTAATTGGAGAAACCTCATGCATTAAATTAATTCAGAGCAAGTATCTGACAATTATATATCCAGATCTGTACCAGTAAGAGAGGACAGAGTTCTGAGCCATCAAAGGAGAGCTAATAGACCCTTCTGAACACCAAAGCAGAGAACTTCAGGGCAAAAAAATTAAGATAAAACATGAGTGTGTAGACCATACACAATAAAAAGTACACTGCAATAAGTGAGAAGCAGCTATTACTTTCATGCATGAAATGCAATACTGCAATACATATGCCTGAAACACTACTGCCACTATAAAAAGCTACCAAAAAAATGAGAAAAGCTGAAAAGCTTAATGTGTCTTCCCTTCTTCACTTCAGCACAACGTCTACATTTTTAGAGAGATCTTAAGAACTACAGAACATATGAAAACACCTCAAAACAAGAAGATTTACTGGATAAAGAATTTAACAGAGTTTGATCCAGTGCCTTGGATGGACCTTCTCTACTCTAAGAATCACAGAAGAATGGACTTCTTTGTCAGAACAAGGACTGTTTCTAAACTAGAATGATCTACATGCTGCAGCTTGAATTGTCTGCCCATGAATTTAATAATAAGAGTTAAAGGGGTGTCGAAAGAAGAAAAGAAAAAGGAGGGGAATACAGAAGGGGAAGAGGGGTAAAAGGAAAAACAACAAAAGAAAAGTAACATTTACTTTATAATCATTTAAGGCAGAATACCTGAAAGGGGAACAGAACAAAAACGGATGGTCAAGAATTCAAGAGAACAGACGATGCAAATCTAATGAGGTGGTATTGGCTGTTTAGAGCCAATCTGGCAATTGTGTAGCTGGCACACAGCTCACACGTGTGTTGCCATAATTCTGATGGGAATGAAGATGTGAAACTACACGGAAGAGAAAACGCTAAAATGAATGCGCTGCAATCAAATAAAAATAATTTTAAAACAAACAAACGAAACCCCCTTAAGATGTGTTTACAGCTGTTCACAATCAAAAGGTAACAAGAAAACCACAGAACAACCATAACAGGAATTTATGCGATTCAAAGTACAGAAGAGAAAATAATTCAACAAAAATCTACATTTAGCTACTCAAGTTTGGATCTTATCCAGAAAAAGAAAGGGGGAAAAAAAAGGGGAAAGTTTAGTATTTGCAAGAACCTACAAAAAGAAAAAGTACCAAAGTATTGCAAAGCGAAAAGGCTTAATTGTTAATGTAGACTAAGATAGCTGACAAGTAATAATTAGTTTGTGCTATGGTGCCGTACTAAAAGTATTAACATGATAAAAGTGAAAGCTATGATGGACTGGACTGAAGGACAGAAAAACAGATAAGAAAACAGGAACTCCCAAAAGAACCCAAGCAAAAAACCCAAACCAAAATCTCCCAACCCAACATCAACAAAAGAAGAACAAATAAAAGCACAATACTCAGTAAGATAAAAGAAAGAAAGAGAAGAAAAAAGACAGGGATGGTATGTGGAAGCCTGAAGCAATCAAAAATTGTAGCATTTTGCTCCTCAGTGCTGTCAAATTTTATCTTATTTTAATTTGACACACAGATCCCAGTACACTGTTTTGAGCCCTGGATATCTTGGTATTTCCAAACTAAGTGAAGCCCTCCCAGAACTAAGATAGACTCTTAATTTATGTATGTATCACCTTTGTTACTGGAAACAAAAGGAAAGGGGAAGAAGAAGGGAACCAAAATGAAAAAACTTCTCAACAAAGCAAGACTTTGGATAATGGGAAGTAATAACAACTTTAAGGAGGACATGCTGCACAAATGCACTGATTTTGATCCAGGTATTGTCTAACTCCTGACAATATTTTAAGCAAATACATGTTACTAAATGACATTAGCTTTATGAATCAGTTAAAAGAAGAAAACGCTAATAAGCCAAAAATGCAAAATTCCCTGGAATCATATTATCATTTTGGAGGTGGTGGGGCAGAAATGAAAGCACGGATGATCCTAAATAAAACATTTCTTTGAAAAAAATGAGTCAACTACTGAAAGCCCAGGCCATCACCAAACTGAAACATAGATGTGGAAGAACTGCGAGAAGGGAAATTTCTTCTACAACAGCCTATGCTTCCGCACTATAGAAAAACAGGTCTAAGGAGAATGACCCTCCCACAAGATTTTGTTTGTTTTTACAACCATCATCATTCTGGAACACAACAGCAAAGACACACAGCATATTCAAGACACAAGACCACTAAGCCGTGCTATACCTTCTTTAAGTAGGCTATAGCAGAAAAGGCGAGCTCTTTCCAAATCTCCCAACTGGCGACAAACTCCTGCATAGACTCGACATAAGGCCTGGTTAAAATTGTAGTTCGTGGCCATCTTCTGAGCCTTGAGTTTATTGAGAATAGCCTGCAGCAAGGACTCTGCTAAATGCTGTAAGACACAAAAAAATAGACTATTATATACTTGAGAATATTTGATAATTATAGTAGTATGACAAGAATTGCTATCTTATTTGCATGAATACTGTTTGTATACATATAAAAACACAGAAAAGTACATCAGAGGCAACCAGCAAAGAGTGAGGAGCAGTTTCCCAGAATAAATATGCCTTAAACCGATGCAGACTAGGACTGCTATTCTTTAAATATAAGTTGTTTGCTTATGTGATTAAAAACTACCTTTCTTAAACAAAAAGCAAAGAGAGGAATAATAACAGATAGAGGAACCCCAGTAACCTAACGGGAGCAAATGGAGCACCCTGACTTGGCTACTCCCGGATCACCTTACACACTGCAGGAGGTTGGGAGTGGGTATTACTGTCTACAGCAATGTGGGCCTCAATATGAGGTACGAGGAGGGTGAATATAGGGATTGTGCAAGACTTACTACAGGATGGGTAGAGGGAGGGCAAAAATTGGGAAGTAGAATGAGAGACTTGGAAGCCAGGTGCTGGAGAGGCCACACACACACACACACACACACACACACACGTATTTTCCACTACCAGGCTTTCACATGGCTAGCGTGTGGGCACGTGTGTCTATGGGGAGTACATACTCAGCCTTGCTACTGGCTGAAGCTGGAAACATCAAGCTGCTGTAGCCTTGCTTCTATGAAGTTACCAGATTTGACAACTCCTAACAAAGATGACCCAAGAACTTGGCAGCAATTTCTGTGCAGAACTTAATTACATTCAAGAACTGAAACAGGGCAAAATACTGTCATGCATTGGTTGGTGAATTGTTCTGCTGCAGACTACAAATTATCTATGAAAGACGGCAATTAAAGTTAATTTTTTCAATAGAGATGTTAAAAAAGTTCAGAGAAACAAACTAATGAAAGACCTCTCCAATAAAATTTATTTGAACCTGATGTAGAATAATGAACATGTAATGAAAGGGTATGTCACTATTGTATATATAATGCAGTTTATCTTACTTAATTGAAAAAGAGAAACCGTAATTGAACGTCACACTTTTCAAGGAACTCATCCTCCAATTGTTAATGCTATCTACTACAACAAAATGGTGCAAAAATAAAGGGTTTTATGCATACATCAGGAAAGAAAACGCATTTACGAATGCAGTCTCAGCACTAAACAGTAATTTCTTGTGAACTTCTGTCTTAAGTTACACAAGTTTAGAAGTCTGATAACCTTGCAAGGCTACACTTTGGCACTGCAGATTGCCTGGACCATTGACATTTCAAATATACACACTTCCACTCTTTTCACGGGCGCTGAAGCCATCACTAAAACACAAAAATCAGGCTACTCACCTTGTTCTTTACACCAAATTCATAGACAACTTCTTTTTCTTCATCTCTCATTATTGGGGTTTTTGAGATGTTGCCAATGTGCACGTGACCTTTAATAACTGGTAACAAGTCAAAGCAGGATTCAGCAATTTTCTTCAATGCCCATGAAACTTCCTGGCAGTCGGGATCAATAACCTTCTTCACTGGTAGTGATGCTTCTAAACTGGAACTGTGTGCTGAACCACTGGTTTCACAGCTTTTGTCTGGGAAAGCCTCCTGCATTTCAGAGACTGTATTTTTAATACTTCTGATAGCACTGCTGGGCTCCAGCTTTGGTGGTTCACTGTCCAACCTCAGTCTCTTTGCACTTCTTGGCATAGATACTGGCAAATGTGCCTGTCTTTCAAGGTGATTGGATGAGCTTGGAAAAAATTGCTGATCTTGCATGTCTTTGTCTTGATCTTTGCTACTGCCAGATTTCAACTTGCTCCCAGTTTTAACAAAAGCAGTTGATGCAGACGCGATTGCTTTGAACCCACCTATTTGAGTCACAGGTCCTGGCAAACTTTGGCTGTCTGAAAAAGCACAGCGGCTGAGCTGAATATTGCCTTTCAGAATGTTTAGTGTCCTTGCCCTGGCAGATAGCTCTGGATACATAGTGTCCAAAATTTTCACTGAGTTCTCCTGAGGAGCAGATGGAGCAGCGCTATCGGCTGCAAGCAGAGGAAGTCTTCCTGGGACGGGAAGTGCGTGCTTTGGAATGGAAGTACAAAATTTCAAGGGTGAGGAGCGAATCTTCCTACCTGCTGCCATTTCTGAGGGCGAGGGAGGAGAAAATAAAAGGGCAGATTTTCCTGCTGAAGTATCTGTTAATGGAGACATCAGAGGAGGCACAGGAGTTTCACGTAGTGGGGATATCAGGTCACCAAGAGGAGAAAGCAAAGAGGATGGAGCAGTAGAAGATGTTATTGGGGACATGGCACAGGCAGCTTTTGGAGGAGTAGCAGCCAAAGGCAGTAGCAAGGAGGGTAGAGGAAGACCCAGTTCTTGCCTAATTTTATTTAGAGTCTCTGATGAGCATTTTGTTGGCATAGAAGTGTCAGCACTTGCAAGCACTGGCTGAGTTAGTTTAGCTTTGAGAGTCTTTGTTTTACCTTGAGACAGCCTCTTTGATAGCTTGGCAGGCTTTTCTTGGGCAGTTGTCTCGGATGAAACAGTCAAGATTTCTGATGGTTCTTGCTCTTTGCACTTCAATTTATTGCCCTTTTTGAGAGCAACATCCACACAAGACTGCAACATACATAACTCCTCAGATACTGTTTTTTGTGGCTCAGAAGGCTGCCCGATTGTCTGACATTTGCACTCTGCATCAGATAGGGCTGGATTTGGAAGACACTTGACAACATTTATTTTTCTACTGCTACCATCTAGGATAAGATCGGTGGTGTTTTCTCCGACATTGCAAGCAGTGCAAATTTGATTACATTCTTCAGACACCGTGACCCCCGTATCAACACCATGTAGTGGACTTTGTTCCCCATTTGATTGAAGTTTTTCAGAATAATCTTCTAAGAAATTGCCAAGTGCTGGCATTCCTGTGTTTAATTTACTGTTTTTTACGGGCAGCCTGCTAGTTTCTGAGAATGTGTCTAACACCTGGCATAATGGTAATCTATTTTTTGAAGCTTTTGGCATTACAGGACTTTCTTCTGATTCCCCAGTTTTTAATAGACTTTCCTCACTGTCACACACAGCTCTGTTAGAATCTACCATGCATTTGATAGCACCTTCAGTATTTTCAGAGGTTACTGATACACGCTCTCTTTTCCAAGAGGATGAGTCTTTGGGATAATCCTTCCCAACCACACCTGACAACTCATTTGCGGTATCTGGAGAGGGGTTTGTTACACAGTGTGTATCCATATCCACCACAGTGCCTGCTTTTAGAGGACTGACTGTCAGAGTATTTCCTGTGTGTGTTGTTGAATGAAGATCACGCACCCGGCAATCGGCATCAACAACCGTACCAGTTTCCAGAGCACCCACAGCAACAGTCCTGGAAGCTCCCAGGTCCTTTCTGAACACAGGGCCACATTCAGAACATTTCCCATCTCTAACTTTTTGTACAGAACAGTCTTTCTCTTCACATTTGTCACTCTGCTCTGGTGTATCAAAATCATTTTCAAGCCTCTTTATGGCATTTTTCCCAGATGCCTCAAAATGATCCAATTCTTCGCTTTCTCCCCCAGCCGCCAGTGAACCAGTTTTGGAAGGATCTGTTCTAGTCTCCCACGTACAAGTTCTGCATCCTGACTCTTGACAATCAAACTTTTGGAGAAGAAAAGTACTCGTAGTATCAGAGTCTGCATCCAGGATCTTTGATTTAGCAGATGCCTGAGGTTCTTTATCTACTGGCTGCTCCTTCTCATCTGGAGTTGTCATTTCATCTTTGTGCACGTATTCCCTCTCAAGGCAGTCCAGTTCTTTGCACACGTTGTCATTTTCAGCAGATAGGATCTCAGCACCCTCTTCCAAGCTTTCTGAAGAGCAGTTTAATACACTACTCGTAACACAATTTTTATCTCCTTTGTCTTCCCATGTACAGGAAATAGCAGCCTTTTCTGTGAAAGTATTTTCAGCAAAACTGAAAACTTTCTGAAGACCGTAATTTAGATCGGGAGGCACTGTGGATTCCAAGCCAACTTCCACTTGCACACGAGAATCTGCTTTTTCAGTATTTATACAGCCCACCTCCAAGTCCCCTTGAGTAGAAAAAGCCAAGTCACTACTAAAATCCATTTCTGAAGCAGGCTGGCAGATGATCTCCGAAACATTATTTTTCTTCACAACATTTTCTTCCCAGTTAAATGAATTGGAAAAAGTCTCAGTCACCAATTCCTTGCTTTGTTTATTTAATTCCACTTTTATTTCATCACATTTAATATTTTCAGTTACCAAGAACTGATTCAGAGGTTTTGCCTGAGAAGTAAGATTACTTTCCACTAGCACAGATTCAACAGTATCCACTCTTTCTAACAGCTCACTACTTTCCCCTCCAGAATCTGGATTAACTTTGAGTTCAGTCTCTTCAGATTCACACACACTGAAGTTTTGAGTTTCGGACAACTGATGTCCTAGTGTACCACACAGGTTTTCAGGTTGTCTTATTCCACCTTCTGTTTCTGTAAAATCTAATACAGAGGATTGACCCTTAGCTACACTGCTTTCTGCATCAGTAATGCACGCCATCCTTGGTAATGCAAGTATACTTTCCAAGTCTGACTTCCCTTGCAATAAATTACTACCATTTTCTTCCTGGGATGATTTGCCTTTTACATATCCCTCTTCCTTTATATCTACTGATTCTCCATTTTCTGCACTATGGGGTAGCTCTGACAATTCAGCTCTTTCTAGAACACTCTCTCTGTTAGACTTCATGGCTAGCTCAGTAGTCTCAGGTCTTGTTATATTCACGTCTTCAATTTTGAGCTGTTCCTCATCTTTTGGAAAGGCTGACAAAGCAGTCCTCTCCATACCTACATTTATGTCCATGTCATCCATAGACAATGAAATTCCAATTCCTTCAACAGCAGATACAGGTAAGCAATGTCTAGACACTTCAACAGTCTCTGGTTCGCATTCTCTGTCCGCTTTGTCTTTTATTGCTTGCACACATTGTTTCTCCAGTGTCCCTTCACTGTCATGCTCTCTTTCAGAGCACCGAGAGTGTGCAGAGATATCAATGGCTCCAGTGTCTCCCTCAGTCTCCACAATTATTCCCTCCCCATTCTCCATCATTTGGTCTTCATGACATTCCACTTCACAGAAGGATTTTGAACTACTGAAGTCAGACAATTCATTTTCAGAGAGCTCTCTCTCAGTATTTGCCTTTGCACAGAGTCCTTTTGTTTGTATTGCAGCTGTTATTTCCTCTCCAATTATAACTTGGTTTATGTTTTGCCCTTCATCATTCGCCGTATTAGTTACTTTGACTGCATTTTTTGATTCATTTTCAACCACTTCATTCTGCACAAACACATCAGATTTCTCCTCAGAATCTTCACTTTGAAGCACAGTGCATTGCTCAGGTGGCAAATAAGTAACATCCTGAGGAACAGATACTGTTTTGGGAGTTTCTCTGTCTCCTGATAATCCATTTCTTTCTGCTTTCATTAATTCACCGTGCTTTTCATGTGTAACCTCATAATCAACAGCTCTGATTAAGATTGCGTTCTCCACTGTTTGCTCTACCTCACTACATTTTTCCATCCAATTCTGAGGCTTGAAACTGTGTAACATAAAATCAGCTGAAGAACTTCCCTTTTCATTGTGCATGTCCTCACTATCTCCTTGCTGTTCTTCGATGGCTTCCAATTCAGGTGCTGTTGCTTCAGTTAGTTCACTCTGCTCAGTTTCCATAAGCTCAGAATTTTCCTCCAAATGATCTTTGTTAGTTTCTGTGTTTGGAATTAAAGTAGCAGCTTCAGTTTGCTTTGTTTCAGCATCTCTCTCCTCCTTGCTGGACATCTTTGGACTGATATGAACATTCTTTTCATTCCCACTCAGGTTACATGAGGTTTCTGCATCAAGACCGTGCTCACGTGGTTTATTCTGCCTGTTACACTCCTCATTGAGGCTGAATACATTACAGCTCTGAGGCTGAACTCGGTCGTCTTGTAAAATATCCTCCACTGCAGAAGCCCTGAAATCAACTTCTTCATCGCTGGAAGCTGTGACTTCTCCAAACAACATATCCTTTAATGAAAAAAACAAAGTTAAAACTGATAGCAGGCTTTGAAACACGAAGTTAAAACTGATAGCAGGCTTTGAAATATTAAGATCTCTTTCTCTAAACAAATACGCTGGTAGCCTTGACATGCAGTGGTTTTGAGAAATGAAGGCTGATCAACAGAATTACATCATTGTTCTTCATACCAACTACAAAGTCATTCTGAGAAATGTCAGAGACTTCTTTACCTACCTACTTGCATTCTAAGGTTACTGGAATACAACATTTAAGTAGGTTCCCCTTGGCTTTCAAGCTGCGGAATTTTGCTGTGAAAGTCACTGTTATACCCAACAGGAGTTGGGATTGTAAGTCTGCAACAGTGCAAAAAGAATCATGACAGCAGTTGAGACTTGGGTGACTTTGCTGTAAATATACTGCCGAGTATTATGTTTTCCCCCCTTCCACAGGCAGTATGCTAGAAGGTAAAAAAGTATCCATATGGATCTAAACACTCAACACAGTTAAGAGTGCATGAGTAATACTGATGCTCCAAAAATTAAAAAAGCCTAGGAACATAAAATCATTATTTTTGCAGTAATTAATCAACCAAGTTAGTGCCAAGTCAGACACAGCCTGAAACTCACCTGCGAAGCTGGTGGTGAAAACTGTACTGGAGAAAGTAGAGCAGGGAGAGGCCTGGCCCAATTTAATATATCCATCACATAGCTACCGAGGCCCTTTTGCTCCTGATCGGAGAGGTCTGAGCTGCTGTGTGCCTCATCTGTCTGTGTTATCACATCTACAGTGTTATCCTCACCACCGTGCAGACGTTCTTCAGCAGTCCTGTTCTCCGCACAGGCACCTCCAAAAGGCTCAGTACTTGCTCGAAGTTGCATGGCTGTTACAGAATTTTGCTTTCCAGCACTTTCGAGTGAAGAAGATCGAGGTAGCGTTTTGCCATCACACTTCCTGATCTTTTGGTGGATTCGTACAGTTTCTAAGACACAAAAATATTGATAAAAACTCTTTCCCCCTCCCATTTTTCAGAAATAATACAATATAGTAATAAGAAGGCATTATTATTTTTTCAAGTGATGTTCACATAGACTTTGATGTTGTTATCCACAATTCTTTTTTCATTAAGAAGGTCTATGTATGTGCAAAGAACTCCTCCCCAAACCACTTTCTGACTTGGATCATTAAGATTATTCTTCCTATTTTTTCTTATCAGGAAGGGCCACACTGAGTAGGACTGAAGGTCCATACGGCTCAATGATTTATTTACGTTTTAGCCCAGTAACTGATGTTTGGGAAAAGCAGGACAGGCATGCAGTGCCATTCCCCACTCAGGCTGTAATTCTCAGCTAAAAGCAACCTGCAGCTTTGAGCCAGCAGCTGCACTGGCAGGCCAGTCACAATTATACCCGGCCACAAACAGAGTCAGGTAGTTCCTAGCTATATTCCTAGTTTTATGATGTAACATGCTTTTAAAGTGTTTCTTTAAATCACAATATTTAGTCTAATTGCACAAGATTTTGTCTTTAATGATGTGATAATGATAATGATTTTTAAGGATGAACACTTAAAAAAACCACAAACCCAAACTTTCTTAGAAGTGAGGTTCCCCTTGCAACATACCTATGCACAAAGGATTCTGAACCACTAAGACAATGAAAGGTACTGAGCAACTGACAACCCTTCCAAGATAACGTCAGCTATACCAGTTTTACACTTATTCTAGCAGCAAGAACGCACGTCCAAATGCTCTGTGTGAATCTTCGCATTGTACTTTTGTTCTGTTTCTTTTAAAACCACACTTTTTATTATTACACAGTAACCCATTTCTTAGGCATGCAGACAACACATTGCCCCAGGAAAGTCTAAATATTGATTAGAATTGTGCTAGATACTTTTATCAGTGGAAAGATGTCTCAATTTTCCAAAATTTAAATTCTAGGATGACCTTCAATAAAACAGTAGAAATCAACAGTCCCAAAACCCCAGCGTGCACATGGAACTAGAACCTACTCCGTAGTATGTGCAATTCTTATATGACATTTGGAAGTCTAGGAAACAGCCAACTCTTTGGCACCTTGACCTGGACTTCAGGGCCAGGAAAAGCCCTACTGACATCAAGCCCTTCTCATCCAAAAGGACACTCAAAAATCTTATTTCATACACAGATTTTACTTTATCCAAGGAACTGCACTCTTTTTCATTATGTCACTTACCAAAATGATTAAGTTTTCTCCTCAGATCTACAACCTGGAAATTAGTCCACATTGCTGCAAACACTTGCATTATTGCTGCCTTCTCCCATTTCTGGAGAAGGTTAAGAATACTCTGATCTGAAAACACCATCAAAGTCTACCACACACTGCTGTGAAATACTTCCTTGTTGAACAATGAGGAAAGGAGAGCAGAGGTGAAGTAAGCAATCTAATGCTAACATAGGTTGTCTTGGTATGAACAAATTGAATTTTACAACTCAAATCTTTGCTCCTGATTGCCCACGCTGCAGGCCAATTCACCGCTGTAAAACAACATCCTCTTCTCTCCCCACATTCATCAATGAAGCAAATTTCTGAAACAAGTCTTGTTTTTTTTTTCTCTCAAAAAGGACAAGCAGATTAAGATGTGGGATATTTTATCAAAATAATTTGCCTCACCATAGAATCTCTTCTGGTTCACAGCAAAACCTCATCACTATCAGCACAGCAACTGCAAATGCCTGGTAGCAGCAATTTTGCACTTATTAAGGACAAGCAGACATATTTCTCTGAGGAGAAATTGCTCCAGAGAAAGTTTCTAATGCCTTGCCAACAACCGTCAAATTTTCACTATGTTTCCAGTTACGTGAATTTCAGGGTGTTCTATGCACTTGCTATTCTTTAGCACTACTGACAGTATTCTGTTCTTCAAAGAAAGCAATCCACACATCCCATCATATGAAACAAATAATTAAGGTGAACACTGCATGCTTGAAACTAAATGTGCAATGCTACACTATCTAGAAAGATGATATCTTGAGAGCTTTTCACATGGTCTATAGACAGAAAAGAGGTCTGCTTCTTAAATCACTCACATCCTATGGGCTTTATTCTCAGGACAGCAAAACAAACACAGGTCCTTATGGATTTGGTCTTATCTTCGTATTTTACATGTAATGCCACTGCCTTGCATCTCCTTTTATCTGGTATTAAAGCAGACTCCAAGGTACCTCCAGTGTGCTCCTTTCCATCCCTGCTCTTAACACCTGTATGCAGCTTCTCCCCTATCCTGGATCCCCAAACAAAAAGTTTACTTCGTTGTTCAAATTACTATTTGCAATTATTTTCAAATATTCTAATCACATGTACTTGACCAGGCAATCACCAAGGAAAAGTATTCAAGTCTGTCCAAAAAGTGCACTTACATATTAATAAATTCACATTTACAGGAACTTACCTTCTATAACAGTCAGTCGTCTTTTTGCAGGCCATGCCTTATCCTGAACAGAAGCTGAAAAAAAAGGTACCAATATTTATTTTTGGTCAGAAAAACAGACAGCATCAAGAAAATGTCAAGACTTTGCATGCCATCTCACCCAAGGCAGGATCATTTTCCTGATTCTCTCTTTTTCCTGTTGTACTGTCAATGCACATCCAGAGTTCTTCTAACAAGAGCTTTATTTTTTCTGTTAAAACAAATATTTTTATAAATTGAGGAAAACCTCAGTTGCTCAAATGGTCAAGAATTTATGTTTCTTAATTTCTACTCAGAATACAGACATGCCTACAACAGAATTCAAAATATCCACAACACAAATTAAAGACAAGGAACACAGGGGCATTTTAGCTTCAGAAAAAGAGAAATGGTAGGTATCATTGAGGGAATGAATCTTGGATTAGTCACAGCCACACGGCAGACTGAAGGAACAGTTGCAGAATGCTGTAGCTTTTCCTTTCTAAAAAAGGAAAAAAGTGGTAAAAAGTTGTAAAATGGAAAAGCAGATTTGAATGTAGCATCAGTGACATTAAACAGATTGCTTCCAGGTGACATGAACATAAACAGGAAAGGAAATCTTTTAGGAAGAAAGTATTTATATCACATTCTTTCTTTATGTACACTCAATAGTAACTCAGTCTTGCCATGGAGTAACAGCACAATAAGTGTATCTGAACAAATTATAAGGCCACAACATTAGTGGACACTGTCTGGAGTCATAACAGCACCATTGGGTGATGCTAAACCTAGCTCCAGAACCAGAAGCGCAGGTGGAGAGGAAGAAACAAAGACAACGGGATTGTTTGTATTTTTCTCAGTGTTTGCATTCTATTTTATAATGGGACATCAATTGACTTCACACATGCATGGATTAGACCAGTCATTTTAATGAATCATGTATTTTCCTTCCTGCAAAACTGAAAATAGTAACCTATTACATTAGCCCTTCATCAGTGTAACACATTTTTATCAACCAAATCTGCTCTTGCAGCATTTCTGACAGCACCCTGTTTCCAAAAATGCAACTCCAGAAAAGTTGCAATAAATCCGTAACAGTTGGTTCCACAAAGAGAACAGTCTTGCAAAAAAAAAAAAAAAATAAAATCTTACCTTTGAGAATATCTGTTGTAAGATCTTCACTTGAACTCTGGGTCTCCGCATGCTTAACTATTAAATAAAAAGAGTAGAGGTGGGAAAAGAAGTGTTCAAATGGACCAATACTGCACATAAATCTGAAGGCAATCAAAGATGAACACTTACCTTTTCTGCACTTCTCTTTAAGGACACCATCAAGTTTGCCCTGTTAAAATCCAATAATATTCATTTTTCATGCCATACATAGATTGTAGAGCATCTACTCTTAATTAGCCTGAAATCTAAATCAACAGTTCAGAGGTCATGCTTCAGTTAGAAAATTTATCTCTGAAGGTGAATTGCTATGTTTAGTTACTCAATATCCACAACAAATGTGATTTTACTATTTCATTATCTCTTTTACTAGTAGCTTTTTTTATTTTCCCCAAAAAATACTAAAAGAAGCTTCATGCAAAAGACCAGGAAAGTCTTACTTGTGCCTTCTTTAGCTCCTTTTCAAGCCTTTTCTTTTCAGTTTTAAGTTGTTTGAAGTCCTGTGTATGCTTTGTTGCAGCTTCTTCAAGAAAGAGAACGAAAATTCAAGTTAGAAACTACAGTATAAAAGGAACAACTAATTCAAGTAGTATTGGTCACCAGGTTACAAAACAAGTTACCAGAAAAAAGTGTGAAATGCAAATCTATTGAAGCTATGTTTTGGCTCATTAAGACAACAACTCATGCATAACAAGCATGTCATCTTCTACTGCATAATGGTTCTGAACTACTGAAATACACTTACTGCTTTTCTCACCTACATGCAAGAATGAAGAGTGGGTCATACTGTAATGAAACTGTACTGCAGAACATTATACACCAAGTGAAAAAAGGGAATAAAATTAAGAATAAGATGCAATGGTTTTTTTTCATGTGTTTTATTCTTTTATTTAGAAGAGTGTTCTGGTTCAAAGATGAAAGCTCCATAGCCAACTGCATTAGAAAGATGTGGACAGCACTCAAGACTAAAGCAGAGAAGAGTTCCTTATCTCAATGCCTAACAGACACCTGCGAAGAGTGCAGATGGGTGGGAATAAAGAGTACAGAGAGGTAAGTGAGGACTGAATGTGAGGTTCCTAGGGAAATTCTCAAGCAAGAGAGATACTTGAGAGAACTCCCAAGAGATCAGCTTGCTCACTTATACATGGAGAGCACAGAAAAGACAGATGGAAGTTGCTTGCTGATCAGATCAGGTCACAGAAGAGAGGATATCAGAAGAAAGAGCATTAAAAAGACAGCTTGGGTGGCTGACAAAAAACAACGATGGGAAAATTTCAGACTAACAAAAGACAAAAGGCTAAAATACGGCATCTGGGATATTTGGTGAACACAGAAAAGAACACAACAGATAAGCTAGTTGCTCAAACTGGACCTAATGCAAACTATCTCAGAGTACTTTGCTCTAGCTCTGCCAGAATTTGAGCTTTTGGGGGCAAGAGGGTATAAAACCCCTGCTGCCACAAAATGGAACTCCAATATGCTCATCAAAATAAACAGCCTGTACCTATACTTTGCAGTAGATTTGGGGGTATTTCTAACACTAAGGTGCAAGTCACTAAGTTCACTGTACTTTGAACTGTGGTAAGCACAGCTGTTAGTGGGCCATGAATGAAAATAATCGCCTTGCTAACTAGCAGTACAGCAAGTTAAGTATCAGAGGGCTTTATACATATCCATCCTCTACCAGCAAAACAAGAAAAACACAATGCCACGAAGCAAGTGCTTTATCTATACTTGAAACCAAATCAAACAAACCAAAATCCAATCGCCAGAATATTTAAAAATCGTAAAACATATGTCAGCACCACTACATATTTAAACATGATTATAAAATGACCAGAAGAATCCTGCCAAGATTATTGTAACGCTGGAGAACATGCCATGTTAAAACAGGCTCATTGAACTAGGCTTAATAAACTTGAGAGGAGAAAAAAAAGAAACAACAACAAAAAAAGTCCTTAGAAGGCATGCAAAAGCAGCTTCCTTGTCCCCACAGGGAGGTATCAAGAAGCGGGAATGAGTCTGTTCAGTGATGCATGATGGGAGGACAAGAGGCTTCAGGCACAAGTTGAAACAACAGTTTCCAACTGGCTAGAAGGAAAAGCTTTTTCACCATGAAGACAGTGAATCAGAATTCAGGCAGTGAATCAGGTTGCCTGGACAGACTCCATCCTTTGAGGTTTTCATGACCAGAAGTTCCCTTCTAGCTTGATTTATGCCTAAGATACTCAATTTTGCAGGAGGACTAATGTAATTCAGAGACTGAGCACCACACATAGAACTGCCCTGTCTTGCTCCCTGGGGAACAGAGTCAAAAAGTTGCAATTACTTCTTTGAATTAAAAAAAAGGAATAAAGAGATGGAGTTAGAGAACAGCACAGTAACACAATGTAGAAAGTTACCTTCAAGTTTCTTCACTTTTGTTTCCAGTTTCTTTCTCCTGTTAAAAAGAAGGCAATTAATACAAGACTTTTGTATAGAATTATGTTGCATAAAAAGCTAGGGAAAAAATAATAAAATCTAGCCATTTGGGAGAAAAAACACTTCCTAGAGCCAGGACCTGTGAGACCAATGTGTCCCTGAAGCTAAAACTTGAATCAGTGGCATGCTGCTGCCACTCTCACACAAAAAACTGCATCTGTTACAGAGGCAGAGCTTGCTCTTACTCTGGAGAGTCAGTCCACTAATCCAGGTACATAAATATACCTTCAGCTACAACTTGGAGTTCCAAACACAACCTGAAGATACAGGTTAGTTTTATTCCTTAAAAACAATTAAGCTTTGCTTACAATCAATAAGACCTAAGCAATGAGATAATCAGGGACAGCCTTCAGGATCACTTCTGTCCCACAGCTTTTTGCTCAGAATATCGAGGTGTTCACTAAAGCCAAACCAAAACCATAAAAATGATACATCTTGAAGAATGCTGACTTTAGCATTTCCAGCCCTACCTTATATGTAAAACATATATATAACTGGAAAACAAAAACCTACACACTTTAGTATTTCCTTCTGTTAAATCCCAACATCCCAGAAAGTTTTTAAACTCTTGTGATTAGCAAAGGACTCTGTCCTGACAAACATGCTACCGATGCTCACTGATCACTTTCATGAAGAACACTACAGTTCACCCATTGCCCATATTAAAATTTGCAATTTATAGCCTAAGCCTTTCTGTATGTGCAAGCTTTAATCATCACTTAGACATTAACTGGAATACATTTGAAAACAAACTCAAACAGGATGACTGACCACCTTTGGCACCTTCAGCAGTCAAAGCATTTATACTATAAAGTAATGAACTGATGCTCCTGGGCCTTCTCATCCTGAATAGGTTCATACTTAACTCCTTCTATACTCAGATGATGGCTTGGACAGTCAAGCCTTAGGTGAGAATTTCAGGAAAAACCACCAACCTCATAAAACATATTTTAAAAGGGAAGCAGGGGGAAAAAAAAAAGAAAATGAGGGTTCATCCTTTAAAAAATAGTGGGCAACAAACTTCAGTTTCTCTGTAGATTATCTTCTGACCAATGCACAGAAGTTCTGCATCTACAATGTACGGACATTGGAAGTAAGGACAGGCAATATGGGAGGATCACAGCGATGCTGTTAGCCACTGCAGGGAGAAGATCCATGCAGCCAAAGCTCAATTAGAGATCAAGCTGGCCAGTACTCTGAAGGTCAACAAAAAGGGCTTTTCAAAATATGTTAACAGCAAAAGGAGGATCAGAGATAACACTGGTCCATTACTTGATGAAGTCAGTCACCTCACAAATAGGGACATAGTGCAGAGACATTTAATGCCTTCTTCACCTCTGTCTTTAAACACTGATGATGGGCCCCTGAAGCCCTGTGTTGGAAGGCTGTGACAGGGGGATGGTACATTCCCAGCCAACTCCAAACCTGCTCCAAGACTTGCTGCTCCAGCTGGATGCACACAAGTCTATGGGGCCTGATAAGATTCGTCCTAGTGTACTAAAAGAGCTGGCCAATTTTATCACAGGACCCCTATCCATTACTTTTTCCAACAGGCTTGGGAGTCCGGAGAGGTCCCCGTTGACTGGAAGCTGGCAAATGATGTCCCGGTTTTCCAGAAGGGCAAGAAGGAAGAGCCTGGCAATTATATGCTTGTCAGCCTCATTGCAGTGACAGGTAAAATTATGGAGAAGGTTATTCTGGGAGCTATGAAAAACACTTGAGAGACAATGCAGGCATTGGTCATAACCAACACAGGTTCACAAAGGGAAAGTCCTGTTTAAAAGCAGCTAGACTAATTCATTAGAGAGTCCATCAAGAGCTGCAGGACATGATAACGTGCACACGTGCTCCAGGTAAGGAAGCCTTCGAGTGACTGGCTACTGGAAGAAAAAACTTTGGGAATTATCAAGGCACAGCTTCACCATATTCTGTACTACAGCAGCAAAAATGGCTTCTGCATTTTTGGTGTCAAATCCCTCCTGCCCATTTCCAAACATGGAAGTCAGTTCAGGGACTGCCGAGTTGTTTCTTTAAAAATAATTGTTTTAAGAACCGATTTTAAGTGCAGATCACTTGGGCAAAATAATTTCTATATTGGCCTCAGACTTAGCACAATGGAAACAGAGGGCAATTAAAAAAAAAAGCCAAGACTAAAAACCACTGAAACCTGGAGAAACTACAGCTTCTTCAATCCCACCCTGTTCTTAATACCCTTTGCTAAACAACCACCAGAGCCAGTTCAAGACAGGATAATAATTAATCTCATAGTAACTTCCAGAGGATTTGCTACAAAATTTAGGACCATTCTTCCATCAGCTCCCTGTTCTAAGAAGCCATAAGCACAAACATTTTAGCAAAATGGAAAGCATAGCTATGTAAAGTACAAGACCAAGTTCTGGAAGAGGTAAGAGGGGGAAAGAAAGGTTGTAAAAAAAAAAAAGAAGCATCACTCACACAGCATCACTGTTTCCTATTTCTTCTTTAATTTTAACATATTCCAGTTGACTCTCCCGATAAATCTTGAGAGAACTCTGTGGAGAAGGAAAGCACAGTTAAAGTATGCCCTTACTGAGGGCAATAAAATAGATGGCACACACTGTACCTATTCTAATGAAAGCAGTGCACAGCCAAAAAAAGTTTATTGAATGATAAAACAAGTTGGAAAAGTCAGGTTGTCATTGTTCTTTAAGGGCAAAAGTTATAAAAACCAAATAAATCTCTATCTTTTCAGTATGTGCCTCCAACACCTAACTGTATAGGAACTCAAAGTCAAGAGCACAACTATTACACACCATACATACAATCCTGCTTTTTCTGAAAAAGTGCCATGAGGAGATCAGCTACTAAAGCCTGCTGAGGGAGGAGGGTTAAAAAAGCCAGTTCTAACATAGAAGAAAAATGAAGTACAGTGACAAGACAAATGTTAACATCCTACATTGTACCAGCATCAAAAAACTACATGAAAGAGGGTGGAGTATTTTTTGCAGAATAATAGTTAATTCTTAGAAAATACAAATATTTAGGCAATTTGAACCATCAAAAGCTTTTCTTCTGCAGACTAAATCTAGGCTAAGGGATGAGAAATTAGGAATAAACTCGAGCAGCTAATCATGCAAAAGCATTTGGTTAAAAAGGTAACAGAAGCAAAATCTGTTATTCTGCACAGACTCTCTTTGCACCTTATAATGTACAAGTTAGAGATTTAATTAATGCCATTTAATTAACTTCACCTAAAAACAGAGCTGCCTGTCTCCATGAGCTGGAAATAACAACTGGGCTCATTAAAGCCTGCTTCATTAAGATAAGCATTAAATACACACATTTCCCTCAACAAGAAAAGCGCAACTTATTTAAACCTGACAAGCACACCTTTTTCTCTTCCAGCTCTGCTTTCAAGGAACCCAACTCTTCCTGGCACTTCTCCAGAGGCAGGATTTTCTGTAGCATCTGCTCCACTTGGCAACGAAGAGCCGAGATCTCTCTGAAACCAGAAATGTAATTTAAAAAAAAAAAGTTACAAAAAAGCATGGGTGCTTTCAAACTCAATGTTCTGTTTCTTCAGGCACATGACTGGGTATTTTGCTTTCCCCTACGGAAAAAATGCTCTGAGAGATACCCAAAGGCTTTTAAGAGTCTAAGCATTCTCATTTTTCCATTCAACATTTTACATTTAAAAGAAAATTCAAGATCTGATTTAAAAACATTGAACTGAGCCTAAGGCTCGATGCAAGCATGTGCCACACGGGAGTACTGCCCAGCCACACTAAAGTGCCAGGAATAAGCATCTCTAGGTAGACAGTGCTGTGAAATAAGAGCAGAGTCCAACTGCGGGCTTCTTCAGGAGGCCATTAAGATTAAATGCTGCCTCTTCCTCTATAATCAAGTAAAGTAAGCAAGGGCACACAGCCAGAGCTCTGAGAGAAAACACTTCATACAAACAGGGCCTCCTCAAATACGCTTACATTTAACCACCACCAAAAGATGAGCTCCACATCCCCACTTGGTCACTTTAGACCCTTGTGTAACACAGGGCCAGGAAAGAATTTCACACAGGAATTGTAGAAAAAGGACAGATTCCTCTCCCCACCAAGGGTATCTTTGCTAACTATGGCCTAACCAGAATGGTAAAGAAAGGACCATATTAAAAGCTCAGCCTACATCCAGTGCTGTTGGTGTTACAACAGCAGACTCCTAAAACTGTCCAAGACACAGAGAACATAGCATCTTTAGTCAATCATTTAAATTAAACTCACCGTTCAGCAAACTGAAGCTGTAATCTCTTGTTAAGGTAGAAATTAAAAACAGTTTATCCTATGTCCTTAATCATATTTCAATGCAATCGCCACTGCCAAGAAACATCCAATGAAGACTTTCAACAAAAAAATATACGACTTGCAGAACTAAGTGTTTAGTTGAAACATTTCAATACTTTTGAAGTGATTAAGCAGAGCTTTTTCTGTTACATGAAAAATCTTGAGCCATTCTCAGCAATGCAGACTTCAGATAGTCCATATTAAGCCATATATTAAACACAGACGAATTTTAAGTAGATAGTTTTAGTTCTAAGACCCTATTTTCTTTACAAAGCCTATCCCGTCTGTTCTTTACTAGAGGCATCATCTCTTAACTTAAACCTTAAACAAAAAGCCTCAAGCCCTCTTACAAAAACTGCTGATGTACTAATGCTGTAAGAACACCAATAGAAAAGGATATCAGTGCATTTCTGCTGGTAGTCTGTCAGCAAACGACTGCAAGAAAGAAAAAAAAAAAGACATGAAACATTTCCTCACCCAATTTTGACAACCATGTCTTAGGATACCTTTCCTTTTGCTTTATAGATAAATACAGAAAGTGTAAGTAAGATTGGTTTGCATTTTCTGATAGTAGTCAATATAATATAGTTTCATTAAACCATTCAAACCTCAAATCTGACTATTTTAAAATAGAAAAAGAAAATAACAGCTGGCAATTACAAACATGTGTAGCCATTAACTATTCACAGCTTTTAATATATCCAAACAACAACCCCCAGCCCTCCACCCCCAAAAGACATTATTTAGGTAAAGAATGTAATCTACATGTAACAAAAAAAAAACAAACAACAAAAAAATCACAAAACCATATCCTAGTTCCAAAACTTAAAAATACTTTCTTCTAGGAAAGAACACATAAATGTAAGAAAAACAGCTCAAAAGTCCCTAAAAAGGCTCTAATCTTTACATTATACTCCTAGCAGCCGTAAGAGGGTTACACTCCAGTCCAAGGTGCACAGTGGGCCATGGACAGCACCAAGGAGAGCTCTTCTCCCCTTTCCTCAAATGGAAGAGAAATACCAAGGCAGTTACTCCCGTACGGAGAGGGCTGCGTTACTTTCTCTTGCAACAGTCAAGTGTAATCAGGTCAGGCAAAACAGAAAGGGGCTGAGCTGCAAGTAGTTAAAGGGGAGGTAATTCCCCCCAGAAATGTGTGCACTGGCAGAGAGAAGAGTCACACCAAGTTTGCAGGTAGGAAAAGCAATCCATGGACACCGAGTAGAGAAGCTTTGAAGAAATGGGTCCCAGTTAGGACAGTGAGGGCCCTCTCAAATATGTTTTGGAAACCAGAATGCAGGACTGCCATTTAGATGCACCAAAGACAGCTTGAAACCTATCTGGGAAAGGGTACATGCGAAATAAACCACTACAACTAGGAGGCATAGAAAGGACATTAGGCCACAGTATGGAGATACACATAACACATTTCAACACATTATTCCACAGAATCATATGTTGATGGTTATTGAGAAGAAGTGGAAGCAATCAGAGAAGAGAAAGCAAACTATGAGAAGCATTTTAGAATTTTACTGTTCTGACGGATGTTTGGCCTCACTTCTCATATTCCAACATTTGATACCAGCAGCATTTCGCACCTTAATGCTTGGACTAAATTCTGCTGAAGACGTTCATATATACCTGTGCTCTACTTTTAGTTCTCATACTGTATTCTTCACAACAGATAAAGAGAAATAAATCCCTTCAAAGAGCTGCTTCTGCTAGTATTTATAATAAAATATTAGCTACAATAGCTAAACAAAATAGCCCTGCTACGCTACCATTACACACAGAAGTTTTAGGGCATAAATTAAAGAAATCTTACAGTCCAGATTTAGGATCTGTTCATGAAGAAGTTACTTTTATTTTGAGGAGGATTTCGTTTTGCGCTTTAATGAATACCGACATTTCACAAAAGGTATTTGCTGCTTTGCTTTAAAAACTGAAGAGCAATAAAAACCAAATCAAAATAACAAAAACCAACCACTTGTGCAATTGTACTTACTCTCCATCAATCATTTTTTGCTTCAGTGCAATTAACGCGGCTACATATTCATTTATATTCTGTAAGGAAGAGTCTCAAGTTGGTAAAGAAGTTTCACCCCAGACATGAGCACTAAACACTGTAAGTAACCTGTAAACTGATTGCCAATGTTCTACACAATACAATTTTTTTTTTCATTCCCCTTAGTGAAGAAGTTACTAATTCACCAAAAATACATTCATACAAATGCATATGGAGAATGCAGGCTCCAGAAGAAAGTATTCATGCTTAGACAAGGCCGTGCTACAAAAGCTCTTCAGACTTTGCCTTTACAGTAGGTGACATACTAAAATCTTCGCAACCTTTTCTACCAACATAAAATTAAGTTTTGGCAGAATATTACCAACAAACAGCATCGAGCTCATTCAAGCTTACAGTTTTCCCAGATTCCCATCCCACACTTATTCCTAGGGTGTCCCAAGTCCTCCTCCGCCCTCTGGACCCCCCGCAGGGCCTTCCCCTCGTTTCAAGGGGAAACAAACATTGCCCAAAGCGCTGTATGACAAAGCCAGATGCTCGCTTAAAAGTGCCTAAGACCGGAGGCGAGCGCTGAGCCTCCTTCCTTGCACCGCACCGCGGCCAACTCAAAAGGATACGCCTAGAGATCCACCGGCGGGTCCCGCCGGGCACCGGCTACTGCTCCGCGTTTCGCCCAGCTACAGCTGGCCTCCGCTGCTCCTTTTACATAGCCCGTC